TATGTGATCTCCTGTGTAGGGCTGGGCATTTTCGGCAAAGTCCTGAATCAATTCGATTTTGATCCATACAGTTCTAAATCTATTAATTTCGATTCAAACTGTTTTTACAGCAATGAAAGTGGTTCAACTGTGTTTCAAAACACTCACGTATTTTATTTTTTCCTGTCATTTTAAACACAAAGTGCAAACTTGTAAATCGGACAGTTTAAACGTGAGATGTGAACAAAACTGTGCAAACTTGTTTGCGAAAAGCGTTGTCACAGAATGTGAAATGCACGCGCGTCACTATAAAACGAATCGATCTCATTCCCTAGACATCAATTTTGCAAAAATGCAAAGGAATCGATTCAAAATCGATTATTTTACCCAGCCCTACAGGCGCGCATCTACATGTCTTTTCCAATCATAAAAACTCAATTTTTTTCAATATGGTTAAACATAAATACTGCTCTCCGCATTATCATCTGCCATGGTTGTAGTTTGAAAAGATCAGATACGTATCGAATTCAGGACCACATAGCCAAGTGGCCTGGGTCGGATTGGAAAAAAATCGGATCTGTGTTGTTCAGACTGCCATGAAAAGAACAGATCCAGGTCGCATATGAGCGCAAAAAGAAAAATCGCATTTGGGTCACTTTAGGTCACTTCAGGCTGTGCTTAATAAGGTTCCTAGTCAATCATATGACATTGCTGGAAATAAACCCCTTTCCTACCTCTCTTTAGAGTTATTAAAGGAGTGTGCCTTTCTCGTTAATCCAGCCCTTAATTGCTAGCATGTTTAATTAGAATTACTGCTAGCTGGTATTCTTATATGATTCTAGCTATTGCAATGAACGTACCGAAACATGCTACGAAGTGGCTCCGCAGTTCAGGGAGCCAGAGGAAGGTGACGCTCATTTATTTAAATCAGGGGGAGATAAGTTTATTTCCCAAAATTTTCATTGAACGGAATTGATAAGGATTTGAATCGTTTCACAGAGTCGAGTTGTGAAAATCGTATCAATTCCCAACCCTACCGACGTGGTTTTTAGACGTACAGAGTGAGCAGGTAGGTTGCTTCAGAGCGTCGGGCCGAAAAATGTGTGAGAACAAACATCGTGAACTTTTAAACCCTGCAGTTTTGTCCTACAGTGCGAGCTGTAGCTGCGTGCAAAGATTGAAAAAAATCGTACAGCGTATGCCCGGCTTAATTGCAGCTCTCACCTCATTGATGTCTTCCAGCTGCGCAAGATTGTATTCAGCCTGGTACAATGACTCATCAATTGTCTTCTCAATCTTCTCGATGTCTGCAAGCTACAGAAAACACAGTTCCTTGTTGTTGCAACCAGGATAACAAACCTTTCCATTCAAAGAGATTTTAATTTAAATACTAGGGATGTTGCGATAAAGATTTTTGTCACTTATCCTCCGGCCGATCACTGTGAGGGCCAATCATAGCTGATACCGATAACTGCCGATAACATGAACTTTCTTTTATTTAGGTATAAATACTGCAACTGACGAGGTGATCAGCCAAAACTGAATTATAAAATAACCTTATTTAAACAAAACATCCCAAAAACATAAATAAAAACTTTTAGGCCAAATGCAGCAAGTATTCACTCGAAAGGACGTATGAAAAACCTGCAAACAGGTTTAATTTAACAGACTGAAAAGAGTTATACATATAGAATTAATAAATATCAAAAAACATCCAAAAATCAAATGTAGGTTTCGTTCGATAAACTGCCTGAGAGGAGAGTTTAAAAAAGTTTAATATATAGATCAAAACTTTTGTTAAATACATCCTGCAGCTTTAAGGAGATGTTACTCCACTTTCTGGCGCTGCATCTCGCATCCAACATTTAGAGCAGCCTTTCACTGCAGACAGATTAACTCAATCATTTTCCAGGTGATTTTTTTCTGATTGCTTTACACAAATTGACACAAACAGATATATCAAGACAAATTAAAAGAATCAACAACACATAAAAAAATGATTTACAAAGAGAAGGCAAATCTTAATTACTCCAGCACGAAAAGATATTAACCTACCTCCTCAACAAGATCAGTGCTTAATTGGGGTAATCTCTTCTTTCGTTTCCCCTTTGATCTATCAAAGACAGATGTTAATCAAAATAACCTCGTATTTTCAGTCTTACATGAGGAGCAGAACAAAAACAGATCTCATATTTCAGTAAAACACATTTAATGGAAAGCCATTTACCTTCTCATCTGGTTCACCCTTGCGGTGTAAATCAGGCCGATGATTCTGCTGTCTTCCTGGAGACCATAAACTCCTTCTTCTGGAAGTGTTGACTTAATCTAAAAATATAGATTTTACCTTTTTCAGTATAATCATAAGAATCAAACACAAAAACCCTTTGAATTAAACAAACTGACCAACAGTTTTTACTGAAATTTCTGATCTTTTAATGCTAAATTTAAGTAAAAGGGTTTAATTAATCTTGACGGATTGAAAGTTTAATGTCTAAGCTATGCTTCCTCCCAAAAAGAACATTTACTGGTCATTTTTTTACCTCACAATCCGGACATATTATGACCCCTTCATGCTGTATGGACACCAGGCAGTTGGTGCAGAAGATGTGGCCGCATAAAAGCATACGGGGCAGGTTTTCATCAGCTTTTTCATCTGAAACATCTGACATACATGACATGACATGACATGACATACATTAGGATAAAACAGACTTTCAGCATAAATAAAGCTTACTTACATAACATACATAGTGAATTGAAAATGTTATTGAGTACTTAACATTTTCCTAGATATCAACATTGAATTTGAAGTGTTTGTATTGTGACAAACCCTATATATATATATATATATATATATATATATATATATATATATAGTTTGTCACAATACTGCCCAGCTTGAAAGAGCTCCTGTGTGTCACTGCATGTGTGCATTAAGGACTGAAATACATCTTCTGGCTCCATTTATCCGTTTACTACAGTGTGTTGAATTCATTTTCATGTGTATTTAAAGACATTTCAATTAGTGGAAAAAATTGCAGCAGGGAATATAAAAATAAAAGTCTAATCAACCAAAACTTTCGCGACCCCCGTGCAGTACCGCTGTGAACCACTAGGGGTCGCGGACCCCCTGTTAAAGACCGCCGCTTCAGTTTATATCTCCTTTTTTTTGTTAAAAAAACAAACAAAACAAAAACAAATAAAAGCTTCTTTATGAACTTGACACAGAAAATAAAAATGACACAGAACTGTTTGCTGTTCTGCCAGGAATAGCCTGACTGCCTCGCAGCAGGTCCTTTGCAAATGGCGGCTCATAGACTTTGTTGCAGCACCTACAAGTAATATTTCAGTGTAAAATTAACAACTGCGCGTTAAACAGAAGACAGTACAATCCTCTAAACCATCAACTCTCCATATTAACAACGAATATTTCCTATTTATTTGTAGCCCAGCATGCATAATGCTAGCAGTGGCTAAAGGATAATTAGCTACCTGCTAGCGCGGCAGCTAATTAGCACGCGTCAAACTCATAATTATAAGAAAAGATAAGAAAAGGTACAAAAATCGTTTTAAATATCTTACCAGGAAGTTTAAAGGCCTCCCCACATGAATTGCAGATTATATCACTGGGACCCTCTCCGTTTTCCATCATTAAAGTCACCAGAAGCAGATTTTTCTTTATTCTGTCTGATCCGCACGTCACCTGCTTAGCTGATTATTACACAGCAGAGCTCAGAAACCCGCGAGGAGCTTCCAGAAGCAACTTTCACTGGGCTTCATGACCCCTTGTGGCTCATGAAAGTATTGCAGGGTACTGTGACTTTTTTTTTTTTTTTTAGAATAAAAAAAGTTTATTGTGTTACCTTTAGATGGGCACTGTTAGTTAATTATTAAGAATTTTTAAAGCCAGCAGGTGATCCAAAAGGCTGCAGCCAGAGTTCTGATGAAAATGAAAAACAGAGAGATCTTATCTTAGCTTCTAGCTGCCTGTTGAGAAATTATTAAAATCAATTTAAAATCTTCTTTCTTATTATAAACCAGAGTAGTTAAGTAATGAAGTACAAATACTTCGTTACTTTACTTAAATACACTTTTTATGTATCTATACTTTACTCCATTACTTATTTTTCTTCCCACTTCTGAATTCTACTCATTACATTTTCACACAACTATCTGTACTTTCTATATTCTTATGTTTTTTAAAAACAAACATTACTCAATACCCTTGGCTTCAGTTTAATGTTTATTAATATTTATTTCACGTCATGTGCGCCATCCAATGCAGATCATTGCTCCATCTACATCTAGTGAAAACTAGTGTAATTGGATGAGTCATATAACGCAAACACTAATTGGTTAGCTGTTGTGTTTACAAACAACTTAATGCCTACAAAATTACAATATATGTTGTAATTCAGAAATAAAACTTTTACACCTCATGTTATGATTTTTTTTTTTTTTACATTAATCTAACACATTCTAAAATATGGATCACTGTTACCTGTTTTCGGTTTTTGTAATGTCACAAAGTTATAAACAACAATCACTACTAAAAGAGAGAATAGTTTGTTAAAACGTATTAGAGGAGCAGGACAATTTGAAGGAAATCCCCCAAAAATGTTTTGAACAATTTAAACACTAATAGTAAAACCATTGATAAAATAAAAACATATGCATATGCAGCTGATCCAAAACACTGCTGCCAGCGTTCTAACTAGAACTAAGAAAGTAGAGCACATCAGCCCAGTTCTGAAGTCCTTCCAATGGCCCCCTGTAGCTCAGAGAATAGACTTTAAAATCCTTCTGCTAGTCTATAAATCACTGAATGGATCAGAACCTCAATACTTTACAGATTGGTTGTCAGTGTATCAACCTCCCAGACCAATCAGGTCTTCTAGTTCCTGCCTACTCTTTTCACCCAGAGCTAGAAACAAACATGGAGAAGCAGCATTTAGTTCCTATACTCGAATTATCTGGAACAAACTCCCAGAGGACTGGAAAAGTACTGAAACTCTGAGTTCTTTGAAGTCAAAGTTAAATTCCCATTTGTTTAAAGTTGGCTTTGATTGTTGAAGTTAAACTGCTAACTGAGATAGTATTAGTTCAAGGTTGTGGTCCAACTGGTTTATTTTAACCTGCACTTATCATGTTTTTTTAACTTGTATTTATTCTGTTTTTTTGTGGTCCAATTGTTTTATTTGCAAAACATATACAAATGTTTTTTTCTTTTATTCTGCTTTTATTTTTCTTGTATTTTATTATCTAATTCATGTAAAGCACTTTATTTATTATTTATGTAATTGTCCATGTACTGAATTGTGCTATACAAGTAAACTTGCATTTCCAGGTGCACTTCTCTACCATGAGATTTCAGCTAAATATAATACAATGATCCCCAACCATTCAACCAGTAAACTCTTTTCCCCCTCTAATGTTATCATGGTTAAAACAGCCCATTTAGATTTTTATCATTTTGTCTAAATAGGCACTTTAATAAACACATTTTTGTTCTAACACTAGACATCCTTTAGATGTGTGTTTTTTTTTTAGGCAAAATATGGTTGGTCTGTCTTTTTTTTTTTAGGCAAAATATGGTTGGTCTGTCTTAAACCAGAAATAGTTGAAAGTTGAGTTGTGTTTGGTCAGTCTGATTTCTTCAGATTTTAGCCCAATAATAGAATAATTTTCAATGATCTGAAAATTACACACTCTGAATGTGTTAAACCTGTTTTTGTGAAACAGGCCTCTTCAGGTATCAAACATCACAAAGGGTTTTGGCCGATGATGAGCCTTGAAGGAAAATATGTGATCATGCAATGTTTGCTGCAGACACAAGGGGGCGCCAAAGACTAAGACAGACATGCAGGATTTCTGACTTTACAAAAGTGGAAGGATAATCTCTTCCACATTTAGGAAACGTTTATCCCTCATCATATCAGGGGCCTGGGTGCTCTAACCAATGGTTACATACAGAACTCGAGTTTAGGGGGGATGGCATTCCTCTTCTTCTTTTTTTTTTTTTTCCAATTGTTTATTTTTTTGATTTTCATTTTGTTACACAAACGTAAGATTCTGAACATGTACGTAAGCTGAGAGAAAAAAAAATTTGCAACTATTAAGTGTGTTTACGTAGGTTGGGAGGAAAAGAAACTTAATGTAACAAAAACACACACACACACACACACACACAAATAGTTAAACAAAATATATAAAAAAAAAAACATAAATACAATAAAATAAGTCAAGTGCATTATTGTTATCAATGTTATCATCAAAAAAACACAGGTAAACGATTACAAGTCATGTGTTAGGTCAAGATGGAATATTACATAGAAGAAAGTCAGGTGACCTTTCACCTGACTTTACCTTTCAAGTGGTGAGTATAGTTCTTCAGTTGCATTGTGTCGTTCATTATGGTTTTAAATAAATTAATTGTAGATGCTGTAGCTTGATTCCAGTTGAGCAGTATACATTTTTTGCCTACATAAGCAAATATACCAATCATTTTATTGGAGATCGGATCTAGAGTATTATCTGAATCTGCACCAAAGAGATACAATAGAGGTGAGAGTTTCAATTGAATTTGCAAGAGCTTAATTTCAAGACTATGTACTGCATTCCACAAAGGCATTCCCCTTCTTAAAAAAATCGTAAAAATCCTCGCCC